TGTATTTTGTATTTTTTAAATTTACGAAAAGTGTTTTATTAGTATTTTATTTTTCGAAGCAGTAATAATGCATTACACTAGACACGTCAGTCATGTTTGTGCCGGTTCGATCAATGCATTGCTATTTATTAGGATTAATTCAAGGGGTTAAGGTTAGGGTTAGGGCTAGAGTTAGGTTTAGGGTTTAGGGTTAGGGTTAAGGTTAGGGACCTAATCCAATATAGTAGGTACATGTCCGGTGTAATACGTGAGTACCATTTGTTGTTTTTCCTCTTGCATTTTAATATTTTTTTTCACACAAAAACGGGAAACCAAAAACGTCGAAAGTACACTATGAAATGGTTTAACGTAGAAATTTTGGCCTGGTTCGCTTCTTGGGAAGTAAACCCAAGTACACAATATTGCACTTTTGATTTGCGATATTACTCTTATAATTTTGTTTATATGTTTTTTCATAACCAGCAATGTATATTATATGTCATGAATAAGTGATAATTGTGTTTTAATTATGTTTGATTTTTTGGTTGCATGTGACCTTTAATGAACCCGTGTTTGTTCTAGTGCGATCATGCCATCTGTAATGAAACCCTTCATGAAACAATAAACAAAACCTAGTCCATGAAGGCCTTATAATACAGCAGGGCTGAAATCCTGTTTCAAATGTTTCACCAGCTTTTCTATTCAAAGCTGAACGGAGGGTGTGTGTTGAAAGTACATACTACCACAATGGAGACTGGTTGTGCCAACACGGGTTGGGAGTGGGAATGTATCATTCTAATAGATGTAGCAAAAATATGTAACATTTTTAGCTAAATGAAAGTGAGCAGAAAATGATTGAATTCGTATGATGAGCTATTGAACAAATGGATAACTTTAAGACATCTAAGTTTCGGAGCATTTAAACAGAAACTATTTTAGTATATCTAATATAGAAAATAATGTGTCATCTAGAAAGTGTATGGAAGTCATGATCATTATTGGGAAAGGGACGTAAACTGTTTTGTCATGGAACTTTTGACGCGAGGAAAGTGATTTATGTTTAAAATGTTCATCCTTAATCCGAAGAGAAAAATTATTTTATCATCGAAATTGTAAATGCCAGGAAAATGTTCATACGTAGATACAGGTTCCTATTGAAAATTGGATACAGGGTGTGACTTGAAAGTTGACTAAAGGCTGCTGTATAAGGTTAGGCATGACTTATCACAGTTTACAGTTAATATGTCCTGGAGTGGAATGTACAGGAAGGAGACAAATACAGCAGTTACACAAATAACAACAAGCGGAGATTTTGGTCAGTTTAGACATGCAATTAAATACACCGGGATACCGAACCCAGTCAGAGCGGGTGGGTGTGCACTCAAGTGTAACGGCTGGTTCATTTGCAGATGTCCTCACGGCTCATGTGTGTATATTTAGAGATGTTGTGTTTGTACGTACATGCTCATTTTTGTGTATAACATTTTGCAATCAACAGACATCATAACATGTCATGTGTTCAAGTATATCACACCTGCCTGTCTGTGTAATTACATAATGTGACAGAGACCGAACTCGGGCCATAAATCAATGCGTTTTGTTTATGGTGTATAGCCTGATTGGTGTTAAGTTCAAATTGCATGTGGTCAGTGATTGAAGTTGTGTATTGAATATTGTCATTAGCAGACAGGCAGGCAGACACACAGTTGTCAATAAAACAAGACATTGAGTTTTGTCTGTGACAACGACATATCTATATCACAGTTAGAAATTCTGTCAACGCTAAATAATGACATTGCTTTTAAGTATCGAACTGGTGAAATAGACAAATGAAATTTTATAAACAGTTAATTTACTGTCATAACATATAAAAAGCTCGCGCCTATGAGATATCAGCAAAACATTAGAAAAATAGCTCACACCAAAGCCTTCACCGAGTATTCACCCGACAACCCGCTTCCAAGTTGCGCGAACCTTTTTCACTGCGCACGTGCTATGAGCGCAGCCCAGCTGTTGAAACCACTTGAATTCCCCCCAAACGCTGGGGGAAAATTAGTGAATCGTTTGATCTCCGATTTCGCGCGTTTTTTTCATCGCGTTATTTTTCAACTTTATAAGTTGAATTAGCATTTTTGACGATTTGTTTCGGTATCGGAAAGGTATCAGAATCTGCAAAGTTGTGTTTTACGTTGCATGTGACCTTTAACTACAGGGGCTTGTATTGCTGAAAATAATACGTCCTGGGTCCTACAAGCGTACACTGATATCCATATTTCTAAGATGCCTAGCGGTTAGAACAATCGGAAAACAAATACATTATCAGACAATAAAGGTATAGTTTTTTGATGACGTAACAATTGAATGACGTTATCCCGTCACTGCGCCATTCTAGTGTGCCCCCTCGTAATCGAACCATTTTACATTACGTCACAATGTAAGCGACGTCACGATGCATGTCAGTTGTCATCGCCTCGTACGGCCTCCTGCAGTAAACTACACCGTTGCATATGGATTCTGCCATCCAGTTTCTTGGTTTGCTGTTGCTTCACGCAGCTAACATCACTGGTGGAAACATTACGTTTATGTTTTACGACGGTTAAAATGTGTCATTTCGACTCACAAGTTTTCAGCGACACGGTAACGTTCGTAATGTTTACATTCCCACAATGCAATTGTGGAATGTCGCTTGACTACTCAACTTCCTCTGGATGCACTGATCTAAACTTACGCTGGTAGTAGAAATGCAACGTTCATATTGCCCCATATGGTTTACGTTAATGACAAATGTAATTAAAATAATTCAGAGAAGATAGTTAATCCGAACGTAAACCGTCATCAAACTGTTGTCATTTGTTTTTTTCTGGTAACGTTCGTCTTAACGTAGGGGGCAGACACATCAATAGAACAGCGCGCCAGTTAGCCCTGTGCGAGGATTCTTAATTTAGGTCACCGACACCGTCGTTTGTTTTCTGCCTTAAATTAATCGTAATTATCTTTAGAAAGTATTAAATTTGGCATCTTAGAAAAGAAATACACTTCGCCCTACCACCATGTATAGTGTAATAAAACACACTTTCGCCCTGAACTATTATAACGTTAAAGCACTCGGACGCAAGCGTCCTCGTGCTTTAACTATAATAGTTCAGGGCAAAAGTGTGTTCGTCCGAGTGCTTTAACGTTATAATAGTTCAGGGCGAAAGTGTGTTTTATTACACTATACATGGTGGTAGAGCGAAGTGTATTTCTTAAACATATAAAGAAGGAAAGGGATGTAACGCACACAAACTTGTCAAAAACCCCCCTCTCGTAAATGGGCGAAATCTGGGTGGGAAATTGTGAAAGACATAACCTTTTCGTAATCGCTAGATATTCCGCTTTCGCATTACAACATCTCAAATGAAATGAGTTACTGATTTTACCTGCCATACACGACTTTATTGGAAAATTAGCGGTATCGAGTGATCGACGCCACCATGGTTGTCCTTCACCTTCAATAGACTCGCACCAACGACGAGCTACTCTCTGATTGGTTAAAAATAAAATGTTGTAATGCGAAAGCGGAATATCTAGCGATTACGAAAAGGTTATGTCTTTTCGCCGATTGCGTGTTTTCCATTGAAATACTTAGTATTTCTTCGCCGAGAGGCGATGATTTTCGTAGGCAGGTTTTTGGCGTACAAATGAAAAAGTTGTCTTTTCCCGAGTTCCAAGCAAAGTTACTCGGTCAATAGTGCACCGATTTTGATAATTTTGGATTTAATCGAAAGGGAATTCATCTGGCTTTATTTCAGTAAGAATCCCGGCTGTGTATTTCACAATTTCCCACCCAGATTTCGCCCATTTACGAGAGGGGGGTGTTTGACAAGTTTGTGTGCGTTACATCCCTTTCCTTCTTTATATGTATATGGATATCAGTGTACGCTTGTAGGACCCAGGACGTATTATTTTCAGCAATACAAGCCCCTGTGCCTTTAACTTTATTTGCCAAGGGTAAAAAATGTTAGATCTGAAAGAAAACGAGGTCAATGTATGTTTTGCATTTTTGCCTTATAATCCTAGCATTATTAATTTATCATTATATTTTTAATCAATTTGGAACTTCATAAAAAGTACACAATCTGTTGTTTAACCTTTAACCTTTCTGACCTGAAATGGTGGAGATCTGCAATGAGAGTAAACACATCATGTACAACATAGATAATTAAATAACATATAATCCTCTATCCCTCCCTAGGTCATTGTCGGATCTTGACAAAGATGTGGCAAGGACTGAAAGAAACAGTTCTGACTAGAACTCGGGTTTGAGTTAAATAAAGCATAATGTCTTGAATTGTCCTTAAGTGATTGGGAAAAGTCTAAACGTTTGGAACAAACTGGAATAAAGAGAGAAACTGGCAATAAAGCATTCAGGGCTTTCACTGGGTAGACTGTCCTTTGGCCCAGGGACTATTCTGACTCAATAACATGCACGTAATCAGACAGCCAGTTTGGCTTTTTCTTGGTGCGGGTAGAACGTCGTGGGTGGATCACACTTGTGTCTACTGTTAGGGTCGATGAAGGATCGATGCTTGGTGACTCTGTCAGGACAGTGGGTTCTCTGATCACAGGACAGAGTGGACGGGATCTATCAGGTGAGGGTGGTGTGGATTGTGAGACATCAGGCGTAGCAGCTGGTCTGGACGGCACTGGCTGTTGATGCGGAGTGCGTTGTTTGTCACCAGTAGAGACTGTTGTTGGTGTGGTCAAGTGTTCTGATGTTGACTGAGCCGGATGTGGACATAGTCTGGGGGTGGTGGTATTGTCAAGGGTAGATGTTTGTGGCCTTAGCAAGTCATCAGCGATTGAGCGTCTAGATGGAGGTTGGAAAGCAGGGATGTACTTCCTGAGGAACTTCCGATTGCGTACTACCTGATCCGTCTACCCGTACAGCATACTGGTCAAATTGACGAACTTCGACCACACATCCTGTTTTGTCCCATTTGAGAGGGTGAGGCCCTATCTGGTTCTGGATTCTGACAAAGTCACCAACTGCGAGAGGTGGGAGCTGTTTGGTGTGCTGAGTGAGACGTTCTGCCATCTTCATGTCGGTTTCTGAGTGCCTCCTCCCTCAGTAATAGTGTATCGCTCCATGTCTCATGAGGTTTGTACCGACCGGGTAGGATGGGGATGAAGTCCTTTATGGCTCTGCCAAAAACACTCATAGCAGGAGATAACTTTGTGTCTCTGTCTGGGGTGTTCCTGTACTGAAGCATTGCCCGCTGGAAAGCATCCGTGTCAAGTTCACCTTGGGGTCCGGTGTTGTCAGTGATCATGCGTTTGACTGTCTTCACGCCAATTTCTGCCCTGCAGTTGCTGTGGGGGAAGGCGACAGAAGATAGTCGATGATGTACTGACCATGTGTGAAGGAACTCTCTGGTTGCAGAGGCTGTGAATTCGGTTCCCCCATCAGAGGAAAGTTCATCAGGTATGCCAAATGTGACAAATGTGCGTCGTAAGCAGTTGATGAGTCCAGGTGCACCTCCAGCAGTTCTCTCCACTATTGGCCAGTTGGAGTATCTGTCGACCAGCACTAGATAGTTGACGCCCTTGTAATGAAAGAAGTCAGCGCATAGACATTGGAAGGGGTAGGATGGGTATACTAGTGGTGTTGGTGGGGCTGATGGTTGTGATGGAGCCATCCGATTGCAGTGAGCACAGTTGGTTCGGAGGGTTGTAACGGCCAATGTGAGTCCGGGACAGAAGATAGATGCTTCAGTTCTGGACATCATTGATGAGACGCCTTGGTGTGCAGAATGGAGGGCAGTAAGGGCATCTTCACGTAGTGCTGGTGGGATCACAATCCGGTCCTTGTATAGCACAACTCCGTCTACCATGTGGAGATGCTCTCTGAACTGATGATATTCACGTAGTGCGGTAGAAAGTTCAAGGCGGGATTCTGGCATCCCAGTTTCAATAAGATCAACGAGTTTGGCCATGGATACATTGCTAGTGGTGGCAACTTTCACCTTGTTCCACGTGATTGGTTCCAAGGAGCTGATTGCAGATGCAGCAGACTGGAGAGTGGCATCCTCTACACTGTAGTCAGGCTCTTCACTGCATCTGATGGAGGCAAGGATGTTATGACAAACATCCAGAGAAGGGGAAAGTTCAGTACAGTCCATGGCTGCAATATCATCCAATAGAACTATCCTCTCAGGGTTACCAGTTGGGTGACGAGATACAGCATCGGCAGCTCTGTGTTTGGCTCCGGGGGATGTGAACCATGTGGAATTTGTACCGCAAGGTCTTTTCCTTCAGGTTACGTAGTCGAGCATTCGAGATGCATTCAAGTGATCGATCCCCAAAGATCTTTAGTAGAGGTTTGTGGTCAACTGCAATGGTCAAATCATTACATCCAAGGACAAAATACCTTGCTTTCTCCAGGGCATCAACCACTGCTAGTGCTTCCCACTCGACGGGTGCATAGCAGGATTCCGCGGCGTGGGTGAAACGACTTCCCACCAGGGTGACTTTCCATCCATCTCTACAGCAAAATGGCAGGGTCTTTGGGCATTGACAGTGCTTCTGGAAGAGCCAAAATCCAATTCCGTGTTTCGACCAGTCTGTTGCAAGACAGGTCGGTTTGTTTGCGTCAAAGATGCGCACACCTTTCTCAATCTCATTGACAATGACGGTCTTGGATTCCTGAAACAAACGGTCCAGATTGTCATCCCAACGAAATGGTGTTCCAGGCTTTAAAAGTTGACGAAAAGACTGCAACCTCTCAGCCATGCTGAATGCGTATGACACTTGATTGACAAGTCCAAACCAAGAACGCATGTCCGTTATGTTCTTTGGTGTAGGAAAGTCCATGATGGCTTGTAGGTACTTCAAGCAAGGTCGAACACTGGTGTAGCAGGGTCACAATGACGACACGCAAAAAGTGAATGCAGGGTTGTACGTTCTGTTTATTCCAAGTGGATGTAGATTTCAACATACACGATAAACGCTGAAACAATTGTAGCAACAATATAATAACAATATAATAACAATGTTCGGCATGCTTGTAGAACATACATTGACATCTATTTATATATATTCAGTGTATTAACATTATAAATGTTAATAGAGCTTGAATGCATGAGCGCCGACAATATTATCTGTACATTAAAACATTACGGAAATATAATGATCGCCGAGGGATTGAACTTTACAAAGATCAGGGGCGATAACTCATGACATGACTTAAACAAAGCCATAAATGATATCGGCGGCAATCACCGCACAACATACACTATTTACCTTAGAAGGTTAATATAAAGGAACGATGATTCTGTATGCTAGAATTATATATACACATGATATAAACAGTATTGTACGGCACATTCTTGATCTGGTCCCCAAATCCAGTTGATTCGTTCCAGAGGTTTCCACGACTTGGATTTCTTGACTGTTCCTTGAGGGATTAGCATGGAAAGGGGTCTTGCAATCGAAGAGAAATCCTTGACAAATTTCCGGTAATATCCTGCGAAACCGAGGAACTTCCTGACCTGATCTGGGTTTGCTGGAGTTGGCCAATCTTGGATCTTATTTACCTTGTCTGGATCTGTCTCAATGCCATCCTCTGAGATGATGTATCCCACATACTTTACTCGTCTCTTGAAGAACTTACACTTCTTGGGGGCTAGTTTCAATCCTGTCTCCTGAAGACGACGCAGTACAAGTTCCAACCTCTCAATGTGCTCTTCATATGTCCGTGAAAAAATAATTAGGGCGTCCAAATATATCAGGCAGATATTTAGGTTCAGACCGGCAAGGCACTCCTCCATGAGACGCTGGTATGTAGCTGGGGCATTACAGAGACCAAAGGGCATTCGGTTAAACTCGTAGAAGCCTAGAGGACCAACTGTGAAGGCTGTTCTCTACTTGTGCTCCTCGTACAACTCTACCTGGTGGTAATCGCTTTTCATGTCCAGCACAGAAAAGTACTTCATTCCACCTAAGTGGTCCAAAAGTTCTTCTATTCTTGGCAGGGCGTAGGAATCCTTGATACTTCGTTTGTTGAGCTGGCGAAAATCAATACACATCGCGCGCAGCTTGCCATCTTTTCTTGCGTGCCAGTACCACGCTTGATGCCCAGGGACTATGAGATTCTATGCGTATGACTCGCACTAAGTAGCTGAGTCAAGTGACTTCGAACTTCATCATACATGGACGGAGGTATTCGTTGGTGCCTCTGTTTGAATGGTGCATCATCTGTTAGGTTGATCTTGTGCTTCACAGCAGAGGAATGTCCCAAATCGTCATCACTCTTGGAGAAAATGTCTTGAAACTTGAGGATGAGTCCAAGTCCTTGATCGATCTGGCTGTCAGTGAGATCCTTCAACTCAACATCAATGTCCTTTAAGAGAGTGTCTTTATCCACTGGCAAACCTGTGACAGGTTCCTCAAAGAGAGACTGGTTGTAACTTCGCAGAGGAGGGCTTTAGGTGGCACAACAACTGTCCTGGTAGTCACGTTAGAGATGTGCACATCAACAATCCCTGGAAAATTGGCATCATAATCCACAACAATAGGAGCTATGTCGAGGTCCTGAGAGATCCTACTATCAACAGTGGGTTGCAGTAGAGCACAAACCTTGGGAAACTGCAGTGCTTTCGTTAGCTGACCCTTGATCACTACTCTGCTATTTGGTCCAATCAAAACACCTGTTGGTTCACAACTCCTGACATAGGCAAGTCTCCAGTTGTTCCGACGGATGTCCTTCTCCTGTAGTGCTATGGTCCTAAATGCCAAATAGTATGGTGTAAACAATTCTGCTTTCTGTAGGAACTTGGTGCCATACAAAGTCTTACACTCTTCCAGTAGAGGTTTGAGCACATGGTTCCAAGGAGCACTGGTACTCGGGAGTTGTACTGGGTCTCCGGAACTACAAGAAGGAGGCACGATCTGGAAGAAATGGAAGAACTGATGGTCTGTATTACAACATCCACATATCCAAGGTAGGGCAGGTTCTCCCCTCCAGCACATTCAATATCAAGAAGGTCTCCTAGAGGATGAATGGGGATGTGACTAAGATGACTCCTATGAAATGATTGAGACATTACTGAAACTGTGGCACCTGTGTCCAAAAGTGCCGGAACTGATATGTCCTCCACAATAATGTCCACTTCTGTTGAATGTCCAACTAGTCCATCCGGTATCTGTGAAGTGGAGCAATCCTGAAAACCTATGGGCGACCCCTTCCCATAGGCCTGCGAAAGTTTAAAGGTCTCATCCTATGATCCGTCCTGACAGTACATGAGTAGTGAAGATGCCCTGTATATCCACAGTTCCAACACACAGCATCCTGTCTTCTCTGTCGATAATGTGGTTGATTCTGGTTGAACGTCGTGTATGGAGCACTTTCACTTGGTCCATAAGGTAGGTGAGGTTCAAAGTTAGACGGATCCTGAGATGTCGCTGTGTATAATGAGTTATCATATGATACTGTACAGGATTGAGGCTCAGGAACAGATCCTGAAGGCTGGAAATCCATGCTAACGTGTCCTCTTCCCTCTCTTCCAGAAAAGCGAGGTCCCCTGCTTTTATTCCGGGTGTATCCGTGTACTTGATTTGGCTGATGAAAAGTAGGATTGGCCTGTTGACTCTTCAACTCCGAAACCTGAGTAGTCAATGTCTTGATCATGGTCTGTAGGTTCCCGATCTCCTTCTTCCATTCCGCTCAGATGTGGAAGCCATCTTGACAGATGCTTGCCGCTTAGAAGTGTTGCTGTCATCCACCTTGGCCTGATCCACTTCTATCTCACGTAGAGCCTTGAGGAGATCGTTCAAGTTTGACGTCTGATCGAACTTGTATCCTGATTGGTTCTTCAGTTCAGGTCTCAAACCACTCCACAGCATGTTTCTGAGCATCTCATCTTTCCTAGCCACACTGATGTACTCTGGGTTGTTCTCCAATGCCTTGGATAGAAGAAGCTCTAGACGACAACACCAGGATGAGACAGACTCCTTGTCCTTCTGCCTTGCACTATAAAAGTTAGACATCCGGCTCTCTGTCTTGTCAACCTCACCAAACATACTCTGGAATTTGGATAGCAAAGTAGCTGTGCTTGCCTGTGGTCCAAGATTCCTGGCTATCATGGCAGCTTCTCCCTTCAGTGACCGTCGGATTATTTCATAGAGATCATCTTCAGAGAGCTTAGTCCTCTTGTTTATAAGGCATGCCACTTCATATCGCCAGTGTGCATAGTCCGCATCCTTACCAGAGTCTCCACTGAAGAACGAAAGTTTTGGTAACTGATGGTAGAACAATCGAGGATCCGGTGTAGTTGAAGCGGATGTGCCAGGCATAGGAGGAACATAGTTTGAATCCAGCCCTGAGTGTAACCGTCCAGACAACTGAGAAGCAGCGGGCAAAGTACCATCTATTGCATGGTATTCCTCTTCCTCCAAATCCTCTTGTTTGAGAGCTGCATAGAATCGAACCAGGACTCAAACTCCTCAGGTGTATCAGCAGTAGGCTTCACATTCTTCCTACGAAACACTTCTAACATGTTTTGGATCTCCTTATCCGTAAAATCCATCGTTGACACACAAGTGTAAAACGAAGATAAAACCAAGTATAGAGAAACACAAACCACGAAATTATTTGTGACCACCAGCAACTTAATTGCTGATAAGAGGGTGTAAGAAACTAAGCTAAGATGTTTCTGTACGCAAGCGCTTGTGTAACAAGTGTGGTTACAAGTGTGGATGCAAAGTAATCAAACGAATAATGAAGCAAAGTTGTAACCTAAAAGATAACAACTTTAAACCAATCACTTCCGGAACCTGAAAGAAAAAATAATGTGAAATAAAGCGTTTGCTTGTTTGTTTACATGAAAGAAAACAAATATGTATATCAACAAATTCAAGAAATAAACAACAAACACAGTGCTGTTGCGTATGTGTGCATTGCAATATGGTGAACTGTCAACGTACCGTCAAGTTACTTGTCAAGTCACTCGTCACCAAGCTTAGTTATTTATTAACTGAGCTTTACTTAAAAATAATTTGAGAATATGTTGTTGAGGCTTAATAAGAGGAAACACAAACACACCTGTCAACCATTCATCATAAATGCACAAGTAAGGCAAATAATAATGAAGCAAAGTACTAACGTATACGAATTAAGAATACA